GCGCTTGAACATTGCTCTATTGCACCGACATTACGCTTCGCCACCATGTTTGCCTTTCTTTTTCGAACCCTTTTTTTCACATTTCTTTTAGTATATTGGGTTCTCAGTTATTTGTTTTGGTTTTTAGGCAAGGCGCGAAGCCAAATACATATTTTAAGTGAACATTGATGGCGATTATCATCATTCCCTTCGAACTCTTGACTTCACCAAAATTTATTTATTTTTGAGATTCATTTTATTATAGTTCCAAAAATATTGTTGGGAATTGCTTACCTTTGCGTCTATTTACAATCTCACTAGTTTTATCTTTTTTAAAATTTTGTGTCTTATCATTATTTTTGCCTACTACGATTTAACAACCATTAATAGTTCATCAAAAAAATATTTCTTTACTGGCGATCAGCATAACTCAAACAGTATTTAGACTCTAATTTAAATTTCTTCTGATAATTCTTTTGAGCTTTTAAATTTCTAACGTGTCGATTCATTCATATTTAGCTTCGCCTCTAATTAATTTTTTTTCTTTTGAATCAATATTTGTCTGAAATACATCTAATTTTGACGTGAAAGTCTTCCTTATCTAGCTAGTAATATAAATGGAAAAATTTGCCTTTCAGTGAAGATATCGTTAGTAAACGAGATATACGATTCTCAAACAAATATATGGAGATAAACTAGGTTTCAAAAATCCCTTAATGGATTGATGCTGACCTACCTTTCATTTGAGAAGGCGGATGGAAGGGATTCGTATCTTTGCATGACCGGATACCTAAGGAGCATTGCCTTGTTTTTTTGTCTGTGTGTAGAAGGCCTCGTCTTGGTCTAGTAATTTTTGGTTAGTCATCGGGGTCGTAGGACTGTGGGTCGAGATCTTCGCAAAATTCAACAAATAAAAGTCCAAGGCAACCCTCATTCGGTATCCGGTGAAGCCATTCCACGAATCTATTTTACTCGCCTTCTCAAACGAAATGAAAAGTATGCCAGTATAAAAAACGCGCTTAGCAACAATGAATAAGAGATAATAATCACGATCTAATACATTTCTAACAGCTTACTAAGTTTGTCTAGTCGTGTGTATCAATGTTTTTTACAGCTAATCTCTCGTTTATGTATTTGCACTAGTTATTAACAGAAGGTCCTGCTCCGACCGCCACTCCCGAGGACTCACGCCTTACAGAAACCTCAATGTTGAATACTATTACCCACGAGACTGTCGGCATTTGCGTTTCTAAAGCTGTTCCTAGCACATCTTCGATTACGCGTGGCAGACGCAAAAGTCAACGTCATGAGAACCTATCGCGACCACAGACCTGTCAGTCTGGAAAAGAATGCACCATTCTTTCTAGTTCGCGACTGACTTCTCGGGCTCGGGGTGAACCTAATGGAAAATTTGTCTCTCTGGAGTCTACATCGCAGAATAAGAAGTCTTTTGGGTCCACATCAGCACATGCCCTTCCCCGAACAATGCAGTTAACCCCCGGACAGACCGTCACAGCTTCATCATCCCAGTTACTACGACCTAACTATAAGGGTGAGACAGTTCTTCACCGGGCCGCTATTCGAGGTGACACTAATCAACTGCGGCGGCTATTAGAAGCGCCAAATA